GACATCATTCAAGCCATGTTTGATAACGGCGTAAAAAAAAAAAAAAACAAAAAACAAAAAAACAAAGCAAAACAATAAAAGCTAATCTCATCTCAGGTCGACACGGATTGGATAGAAAAACTCACTAACAATTCAACCGAGATTATTGAGCTGAAAAGTCCACGTCATTCTCGAATCACAACCGAAGGAGGAGCTAATCAGAAACAGTCGCCTACAGTCAATGTATACGTCAACCTGTTACTTAAATCAACAGCAAATAGGTAAAAACTTGTCTCTTTTTGACACGCACACACACTTACTTGAAAAAGTATTTTCTAGTTTATCTATCTACGAGCCCTCAGAGTTAAAGGATCAAAAGCAGTCGACTGGCGTGTCTATCACAAATTATCTAAAGTGCTTGGCAGAAGGAAAGGAAGCAGACCAAAAGATCGAAGCGTTGAATGATGCCTTTGGCGTATACAAGCCAATATTTGATCCAGCAGATGAAACTCACGAGGTACACAGGATTTGTCTATTCACACACATACACACACAGAAAGTTTTGATTCACACACAAATCAGTAGATCTTCATACAGAGAATACTTGACCTACTTTGGCCCAAATGTAACTGGTTTAAGAAAACAAGAGAGAACACGACCCATATCTTTCTTGAGAAAACGAAACGATCCAACAGCCAAGATACAACTGAAAACTGTAATTCGAATTTATCAGATATGTTTGCTCTAGTTGAAACAGAAAATGCGTATTATTTTTTATCTTCTTATCGGGGAACAACGTTACAAGATTTACTTACTTACAATCCCGGTGTGCTCAATACAAAGTTGAAAAAGGGGTTTGTGACCTATCAGTTGCTAAGAGTCATCGCAAGCTTGCACAGTCGAGGCATCATGCATGGGAACTTGAAGGCTTCTAATATATTGATTGATGAAAATCTATGGATACAAGTAACCGGGCTGGAGTATGAACCTAATCCTGCAGACTTTGGCAAGTTGATAAAGAGATTGCTTATGAGTGCAAAATTACTTATCCATTTACATTAGACATAAGAAAGTGGATCTATGAAAAGGAAATGACAAAGATGACTAAAAGTAAAAAATCATAATCACTCCCTCCAGCAAAAATAAGTTGTAACAAAATGATAAAATTAGGCATACCAGAAGAACCCTTGGTCATCCAATGGGTCAAGGGAGATATTTCAAACTATTCCTACCTGATGGCTCTAAACCATTTGGCCGGACGACGAGAAGGAGACCCAAACTTTCATCCGATCTTGCCCTGGGTCACTGATTTCTCTGGAGACCGCATCGAGGACGGCTGGCGCAACTTTACGCATACCAAATTTAGAATCAATAAAGGCGATGAGCAATTAGATTTTACATTTGATGGTCCTGTGCCACACCACATTACTGATATTTTATCAGATATCACCTATTACGTATATCAAGCGAGAAGAACGCCTATACCCGTACTCTGTCAGTTTGTAAGATCCAAGTATGAACCTAACGAGTATCCTTCTTCCATGCAGCGACTCTATCAGTGGACGCCAGATGAATGCATACCCGAATTCTATACAGATCCAACTATATTCAAATCTATTCATCCAGATATGCCAGACTTGCAAATACCCAAGTAAGCTATTTTAACAAGTATAAAATAGGGTGTCTTATATTATCTATAGATGGGCTTCGTCACCTGAAGACTTTATTTATAAGCACGCTCAAGCACTTGAAAGTGAATATGTGTCTGCTAATCTACATCATTGGATTGATTTGACGTTTGGAACCGACTTGACTGGAAAAGGCGCTGTGGATGCCAAGAATGTGGCTTTACCTTTACTAGCAGGACAAAATAGCTTTATGAAACATGGTATTATACAGTTATTCAAAGATAAGCATCCACAACGAGGATGTAATTGGGGTAAAGGGAAAAAGGAGTTACAACAAGCAGCAGGTACTGAAAAGGAACAAGCAATAAAACAACCCTTTATACAGCGACCCGCCATGATCGCAGTCAGCCGTAAGCAATCGCCTTTTCATTACGACAATCCAAACGGACTCGTATCCTCCCCTCTTCACGCATTCTCCACAAGCACTCCAGCGACGACGACAACGACAACGACAACGACGGCCACAAACAGTATCTTGTCCATTAACCGAGACCGAACACCCTCTGTCCATTCGACCACATCCTCTATAGATACCAGTCGTAGCCTGCCCTCATCCTTTACTGAGCCATTGGTCTCTTCTTTACGCAACGAGCCCATACGCATGCCAATATCCATCTGTGACAATTGTTTCATAGAAGACTTGGAGCATTATGAGCATTTGGCTGCCTTTTCTAGCAAGTACAAGTTGCAAGTCGATGAGCTCTCCGTTAATCCCGTGTATCCCAAGTCGCCTTTACGATACAGTATTGATCCTACCGAGAATCTAGAGCAGCCCTTGAACATGTTTGCCATAGGTGCAGCGTATGATATGTACTGCCTGGGCAAGATGATTCAAGACATTTATACGGCCAATAATTCGAATGTGGCAGAACAAGAAACGTCGTCTAATGGAATGGATATAGTGACTTTTGAAAAAACAGAGGCAAGTTCATGTTTTATATATATCCATTGTTTGATTCTTATACATCATCCATAGATGCCTGTGGTCATTAAAAAAGTAATCGCTGCATTAAGGTCGGATGGTTGGGAAGATAGGCCTACAGCCAAATCAATTTTATCTGCTAGTGACCTTGGTTTTCCTTTATCGGAGGCCATACCTGAAATGTATGAGTTTTTAGCAGCGTTTCACCAAGCGTAAGTTATATACGTATCATTCCCCGTTTGGTATGTTTTAAGTGTTTTGTTTTATCCTGTAGGGAATGGTCGCGACGGCTGTATTTAGCTGATAAATGGATCGATTGTATCTGTGAATTAGAAGACGAGGTAACAGACCAAGACAAGAAAGATACACTTTATTGAATTAATCCTCCATAAGGCTTTCATGCTGATTCTACCTAGCTTTTCTCAGCTATTCACTCATGTTGAGACACGAATTGGTGCAGTAAGCCTGTTTCCAAAGCTGGCACAACGTCTAGGCCCCGAGATGGCTCTTCAGCATCTATTGAAACGAATCATATCCCTATTTGAAGCACTACGACCTAATTTACCCAAGACACTTTTTGACACCAAGATCATTTTTGAATTTATCAAACGACTGGGCATTTTAAAATTCTTACAGCAGATGTTGCCATGCTATCTCGAGGCTCTCTCTGTACAGGAAGGAACGAATAAGAAGACGGCCGAGATGGCAGCGCATTCACTCGTTCATATCTGTATCTTCCTCGGTCCTATCTTGACCTCGAAACACATCATACGCCAACTTGTCAAGATCATGCTTCGAGAGAACCAAGATCGGACGATCATCATCCAAGTCATGGTTCGTATTATGAACGAATTCGGTTCCACGTTCACAGCGGTTCAATATTCCTATTTGATCAGCCTCATCGACACGTATCGTGCCCATCTGACTGTGAAGAATGCTCGAACGATCTATTCGATTCTGATTTTACTTGAAGAATTGTTGGCGTATATGTTGAAGGAAGCGGTTGTGACAGAGCTCAAGTCGGGATTCATATCTACGCTTTACTTGCTTCTGGAACCGTTCACGGATGATGAAAGACCATCCAGAGAAGACTTCAAGTTGAGATTAACGCTTAGCGTTAAGACTATCAGGTATTTGCTCACAGTGAGCGAAAAGATACCGGTTCAGGACTGGGACTCTACTGTCTGTATCAGCATTTTACATGTGCTTGAAAAACTCACGTCTCCCATCTATAGGTCGTTCCTATATTACAAAAGTATTTCTCTGGTTTCTCTGTGCTGAATGAAGAAGACTCGGTAGAAGAAGAGTTGGCACCATTGCAGACCCAAAAGAATCATCAGGTGTGTATGTTCGTTACTTTTGTGTGTATGTGTTAACCAAGCGTACTTCAATAGATGATGTATGCTTATTTCAAGTTTTGCTCTATTGTCGGCAAAGAAAAAATGCATCGTATGATTCCAACAGGGTAAAGAAGAAAAAAGTATAATATACATACAACATACTTATTGCCATGATCACAGTGAAGCTATTGAGAATATGATGTATGACAAATTCTCTCATGAAAATCAATTGCAAGCTACTTCTCCTACACCAGCCATATCTCGATCATCAACAAGATTCATCACTAATCGAGCATCCATCGCATCCTTAGCCAAATCAGAGTCCTCACAGACATCCAGTAAGTTGATGTCTTGGATATCTGCAGGCAAGCGAGCGTCACCTGAGTCAAGTCAAAGCGACACATCTTCCATCAGTTCACTCACTGATAGTCAATGGAAATACGATATAGATGAAGAGAAGCTGTGCGTGTATGCATCAAGAGATCTTTACGAATTCGGGATCCCTTCAAAGCCTCTTATCGACACAACGTCGCCAGAGGACGCGACTTCATCTGCAGGTGGAAACACAAGCTCTGCTTTTGGAACACCAGATCAACGGGCCAAACCAGATAGCTCCAAAGCGAATGAAAAGGAAAAGAGCAAGGTGCCTACCAGTGTTCTGCCATGGAAGACAAGATGGAAGCCATCCTCTGAAGACATAAAGTAAGTGGATGAAAGCAAAGAAAAAAAAAAGGCACACACTGAAGTAAACGTTTAGAAATTGGAATCGGTTTCTATCTACTAATTCGGAAGAAATGTCAAAGTCTATGCAGTTTTCATTCAATGATTTGAAACTGAGAGGATTTGCTGGACATACAGGCGCTATCAAGTCATTCTCTGTGAATGAGCCTTCAAAGCTGTTTGCGTCTGGATCAAGAGATAAAACAGTCAAGATATGGTCATTGAATGTTCATCAAGGTATAGAGCACTGGGAAATCGATCCGTTCTCTGAAAGCTTGATGACCTATACTGGACATAGACGAGGTATCGTTCACGATGTTCATTTCTTGACTACCATGAGTGATACTGTAGCGAGCTGCGATGGACACATTCATGTAAGTTACAAAAAATACACTGCTGATGGTCTCCTCTTATTGATATCGTTTTCAGCTATGGAATCCAGAGACAGGAGTAGGACTACATCAATTCAACACTGGACGATCGCCCATTGTATCTGTCAAGCCCATCTTCCATTATCGCCAACTTGTTGGAGGCACAATGGACGGTAATTTGACGTAAGATAGCTTACACGTATAATACGCGTAAATACTTAATATCTTCCCAGGTTTTATGATACCCATAATCACACAGCATTACATGTATGGAAAACTAGCTTGAGCACAACTGCAATCTTTCGAGTGATCGCTATGAATCCATCAGAAAAGTTGATTGCCATTGGATATTCAACAGGCACCATTTCATTACTGGAATCAAGAACAGGAACACTTGTGGCAAGCTGGAAAGGAGGAGAAAGCGAAATTACTTCGGTAGGTTTTTTTTTGCACCCCATACACATATATAAAAAGAAGGGCCTAACTATTGAGAATAGATGAAGTTTTATACTGATGATATACTTGTATCATGTGCATCAGCTGACCACGTTCTCTATTGCTGGAATGTCAATAGATTAGCACTTGTTAAGAGTATTCCTATACAACAAGATGTGACATCACTTGATATCTATAAGGATGAAATTATCACAATCAACAGTAATAATTCAGTATCATTTATACCAATTAATGATGATGTAAGCTTTTTTTTGTTTTGTTTTGTTGACTTGTACTCATTTTTAAATAGTTTCAAGCTTACTCTTCCAAGTTTAAACCATCGATTATCAAATCGCAAGTGAGTGCATTTGGTATTATACCAACGGATCAATTATTACTATTTGGCTGTGCAGAAGGCGAAATATTCTTGTATGCATAAGATGCTTTGAAATAAATGGCAGATCTCAAGGATATGGTGGCACTTTATCTGAAATGAATTGTGTTACAGTAACAGCTGTAGCACCACTGAAAAGAGCGATCCAGTGCCACAATGAAGCTGTTTGTTTTTTTCAATAGTGATTTCCAATTTGACATCTGCCCTGTTTATCAGTAGCTTGTTAGCTCTATTTTATGTGGCGAAAGTAGGGAGAAAAGCATAAATAACAAAATGCAATAACAGTGAGCCTCGTCATTTGTTTGAGTGCATCTGATTGCTGATGTGGCACTTTCAGTCAGTATGTCAGTCTTAGTCATGTCAAGTCCGCTTGACTGTCGCGTCAAATATAGATGCCATTATATGCTCAACTTGGCTCATCCCTGAAAGGATGAGAGTGATTAAAAGCATACAATGTCATTCTATATCCAAATTATGACAATTGAATAAAGTTAGAGGAGGAAAATGAAAAGAGAGGGGGGCTATGACCACGACCACAGTCGGAGTGGGAGACGACAATTGACCCATAGTCCACAATGCCATGTGAGCATTTAGTGTAACTGCAGTGTAACTCGCTCTCCATCCGCCCTGAAAGAACAAAAAAAGAGAGTGGCTTATTGATGTATAATTGATTGACATCCTACTTTATCATACCAGATAAATCAGACTATAAGCCATCATATAGACTGAACCGTATCCTTTAAGGATACTGTTATTTTACTTTACGGTTAATTCAAACATGTGTATAAATTACACAATATTTATTTTAGTGTAAGCGAGGATTTAGACTTATTTTCACCTATAGGACCCCAATGGTTATTGTAGTGATGATGATGATTGGATGAAGTGGATATAAAGGGATGATTTTCTAGTAACTCAATTTTAGAATGATGATGATGAGAAAGAGGAGGAGAAGGAGGAGAAGAAGGATGAAGATGAGGATGATGATATAATATATTGGGTATTAATGGTGATGTGCAAGCATTCTTGGTGGAGTGAATCTTGTATTGATCCATTGTAAACTTTGGTAGAATATCTAAATCTAATCCAGTTGAAAATGGTGAATACCAATTGTTGTTCTTTTTCACGGTCATTTCATTATCACTTTGTTCAGGTGAATTTTGCAATGGTGTAACGGGTGCATAATTTACATCTTCCTCATCCATGTGCTCATCTATCTGTTCCTCTTCCATATCTTGTTCTTCTTCGTCCATATCTTGTTCTGGTTGAGTTATTTTGCTATCTTTTGGTTGTTGCTTTGTATGCTTATCCTTTTTCTTGTATTGCTTATTCTTTTTTGGTTTACGCTTTTTTAGTTGTTTCTTTGTAGGTTTCTCGGTGATAGGTTGATCATAGAACTCTAATGGCTCTTTTATTTTGACGGTACGTCTTGTCTAAATACATTAAGCTATTAACGTGTTTGATATGTCTTGTTTTTATATCCATACCTTAAATAATGTTACAACAAGAAACAAAACAAAGAAGCATAGAATTGTCTTTGTTGGCACAAGCCGAGATAAAGTAGGTTTCAACACTGAATAAATGGGTAAAGCAAGTATTGATAAAAGTGCCAATAAGCAAATGATTAAAGGCGACAATACTACAAGGGACAATATCTGTAATCCCCGGATATGTCGCATTATAATAAAAAAAAAATTAAAAAAGAGAGAAGAGAGAACGACAGCGACAAGGGGAAAAAGGTTTTGCAGAAAAAAAAATATTTTGAAGGGTATAAATTTTGTTTTTCCAAATTTGTTAAAAATCAAACACAGCAGTATCGTTTCGTTTTCCTAAAAGTCCAAGATTATACAGTGAGCCTTGGACTTCTTTTCATCTTGTGTTCATTCGTCATAAATTAAAAACAATCATTAAGGAACGAAAAACGTAAGCATTAGCCTCATTTGTTACAAAGTATAAATTTAATCATTTAAATAAAAGTGCTGTTTAAACATAAAAACGAACATAAAAGTAATATAAACTAAATCAAAGTATTTTTTTTTATTTCCCGCTTCGCTTTCGGTGACGAGAACGCTGAAGTCCTACAGGATTTTACTCTAAAATTAGACGAATCAAAATAGTTTTTAGACGCTTTACTTACCCTTTTTAAACGAGATGAAAATAAAATTGACAAAAAAATATTAGTTTAGACATGCTACGATGAACAAAATGATGTTCTTTACCTGTGGTAATCTTTAAATTTGCTCGCCGGAGCGAGGAATAACCACGTTCTATGTGGCGCGTTGTCCTGTTGGACGAGAGAGGATATGGGGTCGTTCATTACCGGACCAAAGTTGGGTTGAAATGAACATCATATTTTTAGCCGCAAGCACGTCTCGATTCCAGAATATATTACAATCGTTGCAGATCATTATATTGTAAAAGGTACGTTCTTGGACTGTATGGTGTCTTAAATTTCTTTGATGCATTCACAGCAAACCTAATTAAAAAGAAATAATTAAGGCTCTTAAAAATACACAAAATTTGCAAAGATACCTACGGATGATACCCTGAACTCATTAATGTCCAGTACTACTAGTTCCCCTTGTTTTTCACGCTTTTTGATATTCTTGTAAATCATCTCGGAAGCTCTTGCTCTTCTTCCTCTAAACCTCACATGAATACTTCCTTTCAGATCATCCCTGAATATGATCAAAGGTATCTTTGCTGCATCACTCTCATGGAAATGACTTTTGTGAGTTTCTCTCCCATATAATTTGTGAGAAAAGGCGATTGTGTAAATACAGACTTTGTAAAAAAATAAAAGAAAGATTATATCACCTTATTTCAATAGGGTTGTCAGCATTATCACCATGCTCCTTACTGCTCACCATTTCCTTTCTGCTTCTGTTTGAGCGCATTTTTTTACGTCTAGCTCTATTGTATTTTTCCCTCCATTTAAAAAATATTGCATGCTTCTTCGAGAGCGCATTACCGTCCTCGATAGTTGTTCCAATTTATCTGTGCAGTACGGAAATTGTAAAAACCAAAAAATGAGATAAATGGAGCACTATATACTGTAGGTGATCAATGTATTGATTGATGTTGAAAAATAGTTATCGTAGCTGAAGATTGCCAGCGCACAAGGAGCTCTGATCAATGTTTGATATAATGATGGTTCATCTACTCTGAGACCATGCAGTGAAGAGGCAGATGGCTGCGGGCAAAGCTTTCTGTAAAATTTTTTGTAGCTGTAATTCACGTTTATAATTCTGTAAATAAAGTAAGTTACTTGTTGCTTTTCTTATCATCATCCATACTTGCCTGTAATATCTCCAAGCTTTGAACATATTTTCTTTCAGTTTTTAATAATTCAAGTACGACTTTATCCCTTGCACTTTTTGGTTCATTGAATGAGTTTCTATTGTGATTGATGGATGTGATGACGCCTCATTCTTCTAGAATTTGTAAGATGATATCAATGGCGCTCACAACCTATAATAAAAAGGGATAAATATGATATTACAGTATAGTCTTTTTCTTATTACTTTAACGAATCTATTGGTATTATCCTTGTACAAGTCGGACAAAGTGAATAAATCATCTTCACGAATACCCAATTGATTTTTGCAAGCAACAATAAAATGGTAGATGCTCTTTTTACATTCATTAATTTGAGTACAAGATGGATCGACTGATAAGGGCTCTTGAGGATCCGACGCATTAAATAAGGCAGTCAAAGGAAAGCGTCTTCTACAGATAGTCCATAACTTGTTTGAAGGTGTTGTATCATCATCTGTTGTGTAATCAATATAGTATTCTATATTTGGTACAAGAGATAGCTTCTCTAGTACAGAGCGACATGTATGGTAAAGTGATGCTCCATTCGATGGCTTATTAGTGATTGAGAGTGCTGGTAAAGATGAATTATACAAAAAGGTATTTGTGGTCGATTTTGTGTTCAATGAGGGTGATCGACTATTACTGCTATGACTGCTGCTACTTTTGAGTGAAGTCATTAAAGAAAAAAAATCAAAAAAAGCTTTTATTCTTTTTAAATCCCAATAAGACAATGACATGTCGCACATTGAAATTAACTATCGAAATCAAGCAAATCTGCCAATTCTTGATCAGTCGCTAAAGAGGGGATTGAGCTAATCGTACCGCCACCGCCACGCTGTAACCAAGAATTGATTTGATCTTCTGTAATTTCAAGATTCTCTTGATGTGATTCAATTGTCGATTGTTGCCTCAATAGCAAGTTTAAATCCAGCATTGAACTGTACATGGGGGTATATAGGATTGAACATAGGTTTGCGATATCATTCACAGTGATAACAGGAGGAGCAGGTTCAATTGTATTACTACTACTAACACTACTGCAGTCATCATCGGATAAAGAAGGACAAGTCATTTTACTATCATTCTTTAAAAGGTATTCATAGATTTCACTATTTGATTTTCTTAGATTATCCATCATTTTGTATTTTGCTTTGGTTAAATTATGTCTTAGATGACGACTAATCGACACAATATCGTCTGTTTCTTCTTTTTCTGGTAATTTCACTTGTCTACTCAGCGCTTTCAATTCTTCTACTGTCATCTTTTCTTTACTTGATGGTTTACCCAATATGATCTTTTTGCTCTTCTTTTTTTGTATCGTCTTTTGAGTTCTATAGATTGTTTAAATAAAGAATATACAAGGGAGAATGTGTGTACCTGTAAAGTGGTGATGATGAATATGATTGGTCATAAATGGATTGCATTATGAGTGGTTAAAAGTACACAGAAAAGAGAAAGAGACAAAGAGAAGAGAGAAGAAGAAGGGAAGAGAATGTTGTTATATAGAAAAAAATCTTTTTCTGAGAAATAAAAAAATGGGACTTGTTGAAAAGGCAGGGAAATTTTTTTAAAGGAGAATCATCTTTATTTATAAAGTGCATTAAAGTAGTACATTAAATCCATATTAGGATAAATGACAATCTTTACATACAACAACAACAACAAAAAAGAAAGAAAGAAAGAGAGTTTATAGATAACAAAGAACTCAAGGTCATATGAAGGGGAAAAACTTTTTATATCTCCTTTTTTAAAATAAAAGCGGAGAGAGAGAGACGCTTTAGTGTAAAGAGACGTCTCTCTTTTTTGTCTTTAAAGGAACGCATTCAAATATAAATTAATTTCGGATGATGATTGGATAAATAAAGCGCTGAATCTGAATTGTTCCTATTGGCTTAATCAACATAAACAAACAACAAAAGAAACTTTATACAAATACAGGCTAGACAAAACAATATATATCTGACAACACCATTTCAATAAAGAAAAAGACACTATTTTAAATATACATTTATACTCTCTTATTAAGTTCATATCAGAGTAAATCTTCAAGTAATAAAAGAAAATCCATTTAAGCTCTCTTCTATCCCCCTTAATATATGTGTATGAGTGCATTCCTTATGCTTTGCTATACAGTTTTCACACTTTAAATTCGGACAATGTTAGTTTTTTTTTTTTT